CTCTATACTGTATTGAATTGTATATAGGGAGATAGAGAAAGAATATTATGAATATCTTACTCTGTAGTTTGTTTGTTTTTTGCCTATTTCTATATTTTGAGTTATCATGACTTCAAGTTCATATAAAAAAGTACAATTTTGATAGCACAAAATGGGGAGGACTTTGAAGTAGAGGGAAATTGTTGGGCAAATACATTTAAAAAAATGATCAAACAAAACCCAACTTTCGTAAAAAAACAAACGTATTTATATTTATGATAATGGCAATCTGCATCACACTTTAAACGCTACGAAAGTTTGCAGTACACCAAAGGCCTTGAAAATTGTTGGTCCGTTACTAAAAAAAACAAAATACAAAACTCTTGAATGGTTTGCAATTCCGAAAAAGAGCAACCTTCAAACTGAGAAGCCGTTTTGCAAGTGACAAATCCCAACTCTTGAACACGAGCAAGAGTATATCCTGGACGTTGTGAATTCTGCTGATTAGCCAATTGTACTTTAAGTGAAATTGAAAATCAAAATACCCTGTAACTGGAAAAATGTGGATTTGTGACAAAAATGCTAAAGCTTTTCTTCTATCTCCCTATATATAAATCAATAGTAGAGAGCTCTGTGGCTGTCCTCAACCGAATTTTAACCAACTTAAAGAATTGTGGTTCAACAGAAAAACAAATAATACAAGTTGGTTCACGTGCTTTCGTGTATTAGTGTGCCAAATTTAGAGAAAGACTCCGTATGTTAAAAGATAAGAACAGATAATGGGAATAAATTGTACATGTACATGGCCACAAATTATTTGTTATATAGTTATTAGATTTAGACAAACTTTTGAATAAGTTGGGTGAGCGATGGAATGCTGTGTAAACACAGTGTCTTGTATTTGTGTACACATGAAATAAATATATTAATAAACACAATAATAAAAATATTTTACTCTCATATTGAAATAACGGCATCAGCATGGGTCCCCTGAAAGGTGATTTCTCCTCCATCCCCACTTCCTTCTCTTCTCCCTTCTCCTCCACCCCCCACTTCTAATCCCCATCATCATCATCAACCAGGAGCCTTCTACATACACACCTCAAAGTAAGTGTACTTTACTGCATTTTTTTTTTTACTTTGTACTGTATGTACTTTTCGGTGAGCTGGAACCAATTACACAATATCCCATTGGGGGGTGCTGGTGGTAGAGTGGTACCGCTCTTGCCTTCGCAAGCGAGATGTCACGGGTTCGATTCCCGGGCCGGTGGAAGTTGTTTGGACTTACTTCCTAGCCCCCATTAGTCCCTGTTCACCTAGCAGTAAAGTAGGTACCTGGTGTAAATCGAAAGTTGCAAATTCATATTCAGGGACAAGTTGTTGGAGCTTCCAATAACTTGATGACATAAACCATTGACTCTTCAGGCTTCTATGCCCTTGACTCTTCAGGCTTCTACGCCCTTAACTCATGAGACATAAAGGCAAGCATGAACTTAGCATGCTTCCCTGTTGGGCACTGTAAACGCTTCTGCGCTTCACCTTACACAAGGATGTAGGGAGTGCCCAATTAAAAAAAAAAAAAAAATCCCATTGAAACAATGGATTCGGTTAACGAACGACCTTCTGGAACAATTTGTGTTCGTTAACCGAGGGACCACTGTACGCGACTTACGACCACCCGGACATAGGACCGCCTCAGTTGTACCAAAATTTTTTCAATTTTCGTATTTTCGAGTCCCAACGTCAGTGATTGCGCTGTGTACTGAAAAAATTTAAGTTTGTAATTCACTTTAAAATGGCTGGCAAGCTTAAAAGTGAGAGTTTTGTGGTGCTGAGAAGAAAGAGAGACACCCATTTTAGATTTTCTATGTACAGGTATTATTTAAGCATTTTCGACTTACGACCATTTTGACTTACGACCTGGATTTGGGTCCCTAACCCCGTCGTAAGTCGGGGAGGAGCTGTTCTTATAATTGTACCCAAATAAAAATATAAAACAAACTAAAACATGGAGCAAAACCATAAAAATAGTCATCAGTCCTGGGTTGCACATAGTTTTTCAATTCCAACTTGTGAACATATGAAATAACAGTGCAAGCAAAATATAATATCTAACTTATAAAAATCCACATAACTGAAGTCATGTTCAGAAGGAACAACAAGGGCAATCATAATGACACAATGAGAGTAATTTTATTAACTTGAAACAAATTTACATTTCCTACAGGGTATGCAATTAAACTGAATAATAATGTGGAGACATTATTAAATTTTTTCTTGTATGGGTTAAGGTTCATGATGGAAAATGTAGCTCAGATTTTAATGGGTTAGGGCTGGAAGTGTTTTATCTGTTCAAGTCACTCTCATTGAACCATCCAACCCCATTCCAAATAGTTGAAAAGGGTTAGTTAAGTGTTCATCTATGATATAAAATTGAAGGGAAGTACTGTATTGTATATGAAGATCCTGAAACAAGAATACTGTATTCTTTAAAGGCCTGTTTGACCCTCTTGGGAGTCCATTGATGCATTTCTCACCTAGCAACTAGGATGAAGTCTGATGCTCCTTCCTACCCCCACACCATGTTATTAGACTCACCTAGGCCTGGGTCCATGGTTGCCAGTAAACAACAACTCCCCAAAGAGAGTACTGAGCTACTGGTACCTTTTACAAAATACCAATGAAAGACAACTCCACTAACTGACACCCCAGTTTAAAACCAATGGTTGGATGGTAAACAAAGTAAAAACTTCATTGAAACAAGCCAAGATTTGCCTAACTGTTTTCATACCACCTAAGACAGACTGTGCAGGTCCAGAACACACTCCTAAAATGCTCAATCATAATGGGCCAATAGCAATTAGCTTTAAAAAAACAGGATATGGAAACCAACAAACTTCCATCTTAGGACACAGTGTAGGTATGTTCTCACCAGGTGAAAGGTGGCTGGACACTGAAAATACCGCACCCTTAAAATTCGCGGGGGTTTGGGTCTCAAAATGGCCGCGAATTGCCAAATCTGCGTATATCATATGCTGACCAGGGGGGTGGGGGGTGGTGGTACATTTTTACTCGTGTGCAAAGAAATGTATATTCCCTTTACGTGTTTGCCCTAAGGACAATTACTTCTTTTACCTGTAATATACACGTGTGTGTATGTGTGTGTGAGTGTGTTGCCACAGACAGACACACAGACTATTAACTACTATTTTATCAGTAAACACTAATAATAACAGTAAATCCAGTGAAACATGGCAGGGAGTGAGGAGTTTCAAATGCAGAAGATGCACTAACTTGCAGTCACTCACTTACCTTACCCTCTCCAATTGCCAGGCTCACATTGCCAGGCATATGTATGGGAGAAATACATGACCTTTTCTCTTTTAACTTTTTTGGGCACCTTCCTGTGGCCGGATGAAGGTGGTTGAGGGCTTTGGGAGCCATCACAAGCACAAGGAGCACAGTTGTTAAAAGAACAGAGTAGTACATGCATGAAACAGACAAATGTTTAACCCAGACTGAGGTGGAATGAGGATGCATAGCCCAGCCACCTGGGACAAGAGAGACACCCTGCAGGTCGCCATAAAACTCACGGTCTCTTCGTCTCGGCCGCAAAAATGTACCAAACTTTAAAACTACCCACACACATTCATGGGTACATCCAGAGTGTCATCCGTGACTTATTAATCGAAGGCCGCGAATTAAAATCTGCGAATTGTAAGGGTGTGCTGAGAAAAATATGGAAGAGCCTAACTAATGGCAGTAAATATGGATGTCCTCCAGGTATGACACCATGTGCTTATGATAGCCCTCCTACCATTAATGGCAACTTTGGCAGTCAAATTCTCCCTCATTGAGGTAGACAGCTGTCATAGGGAAAGATTTAACCCTTTAACTATGTGTCCCCTGGGGGGACCCCTCAGACGATAGAACGTTGCATTTCTAAAAATAATGAAAATAATAATATACCTGCCATGGTTACAGGTTGGCTGGGGGTGGTGAGCTGTGGCTGTGTGAAAACCCTCAAACCTCAGGGGTTAATAGAGAAAGCATGGTGCAAAAAAAAAATGCAGACCCTGCAGTAATTGAAGTCAATCATAAGAAAGACTCCTAATTTCTGAACACTTGACTGATTGGTGATTAATCCTAAAATTTATGTTCAACATTGACCCAAGACTGCCTGAGATTCAAATCTGAGAGATTAGTGAACAGTACATTATTACATCACACAAGCTGCCAGGTATAAGGGCATCTTGCCATAAAATGAATACTGTACTTATATACAAATGCAGTACAGTAACTCCATCACATCATAAAACTATAACTTCCATAAATAAATAAGGACCTTTTAAAGTATATTATATTTACAACAAATAGTTAAAATTATGAAGTATTTATACAAGTGTATGTACAGATTTGAAAAAATTGATACTGTCATTGGTTGATTTCCTGTAAAAACATAATTATATTATTTACATTTGTTCCAAAAAAAGGTATGAATAATCATATGCTTGTTAAAAAACTATTTATTGTAAAGAAAAGTCTTGTACTGCAATTCATCCACAGAAATAAAGATTTCTTTTTACCATATTTTTTTAATGAATAAATCAAATTTCTTCACAACTTTCAAAAATACATTTTCATGAACCCATAAATAAGACTATACAGTACTGTATTAATATACAGTATGCAGCCCCTGAGTTACAGACCAGTTATAATCCAGGAACCTGTTCATAAATGATCTGTTCGTTAGTCAGAACAGTTTTAATGCCATAGGTTAGGATAAAATACAACCCTGACCATACAAAACAAAAGTAACAACCCAAATATCATTTGTAACTCATGGACTGCTGATATAATTCAAGGGATAAAAGTACAAATACTTTTCCATAAATAATATATTTATAAACTTCTCTTATCCCGGTAATAAAATCTACACTTCAATGGTTTCCTACTCACTCTGCAATCATTAAGTTTGTATGATTTGAGGACGCTGGGCATGGATGGATGCTTTGCCATATCGCCTCTGAGCCTCATCTAAAAAGGAATTTACATTTTTTCTCACTACTTCACTGAAGAACACATGGGCCATTTGAGAATGTATCATTGACCGGAACTCAAATGACACCGAGAAATCAAGGGTGCAAGTGTCATGCTGAAAAAAAAAAAAAATAACCTTGTAATTTTTTAGTCACTTGTAAATGTTATAAACTATCACAGTTATATAAACAAAAATACTACAGTACAGTACAAGAAAATCATTATTGAATATACAGTGACATGCAAGTAAGTTCTGAATACCAACCTTCTCTCTTAGAATGACCTATGTTATGTATCAGTCAACCTTACAGTTTGGGAGCAAGTGGCTTTCAAAAATGGATAATTAAACCAAACTACTGTACTTGTATGAGCTAGATTATTAATATTTTCTACAAATATCTGTACACTAACTTACTTCATTAGTCTCCAACACTCTTCAAGTTATTATGTCTACAAATAAGCTTTAAGTGTATCATCATTCTCCAACAATCACCATAAAACTTCCTCCCCAAATTCATGTGAAGACAAGTCATTCACACCCCCCACCATACACAGTCACTCAGCCAGTTGCTCCACTGTCCAATTTCTCCTCATATACCCTCATATAATGTGGGAAAAATATAAATACAGTAATTAAATTTCATATGTAGAATGCTAAAATCACTCATAAAATAAAATTTCACAAAATAGATTTTCGATTAACAGCAGATGCAGTACTTTACTTACTGTATTATAAACATTAACAGTTCAAAATATTTTCAATGATTGATTCACTCGCTTGACAAAGAAGTATACTGTACAGTGGTCCCTCGATTAACTAACACAACTGTTTCCACAGAGTAGTTCGTTAACCAAAAATTTCGTTAACTGAATCTATTATTTCAATGGGATATTGGGTAATTAGTTCCAACTCACAAAAAAAGTACATACAAAGTACAGTACTGTATGCTGGTAATAGAATTAACAAAACATTAAATATAAACTAAATACAGTGCTGTACTGTACAGTATACCGTATAATAATAAATAAAAATAGAATACTTGTATTTTAACTTACTTTGAGATGTGTATGTCATATTCCCGGCAGCTTTGTTTACATATCAAACAGCTGATTGTAGAAGCAGTCGATGATGACAAGCCATATTCTTTACAGAGTGCATTGGTTCGAATGCCTTCTTCGTGTTTCAAAATAATTTCTGCACTGCATATTATATCAATATGTGAACTAAATTTCAGAATGACCAATAATTTTAATGTAAAAATGCAAACATATTCAAGAGACCAAAAACTGGATGTTCACTCCATTGTAAACAAAGTTAAACTGAGAAGCGTTGGTGGGTGATTCGATCAGCTGATTGGCACACAAAAACTGTTCCCTGTACTGTATATATTATCAATATGTTAACGAAATTAGAATGGCCAATAATTTTAATATAAAAAATAAAAAAAATATTCAAGAGCACAACTTTCTTGATATTTACTCCACTGGAAACGAATGTAAACATAGAACCAATTATTGTATAGGCGGACTAGCCGATCAGCCGATGCGCACAACAAAGAGTGTTTCTCGTAGGGTTTTCGTTAATCGAGGTTTTGTTCGTTAATGGAATTGAAAATCCTTATGGGAGCTAATTTGTTAACCAAAATTTCGTTAATTGGACCGTTCGTTAATCGAGGGACCACTGTATACAGTAATACAGTACCTTGTTTAGTGCTCAGAATACATTCCAGGATAATAGAGCACTATTAAAACAGCATATATGGAGATGCTTTCCTGATGAAGTTATTTTTTACTTATGAGATACAATATACTGTATACAGTACTGAATATGAAGGGTACAGGTACAGGCATCCCGTGGGTTACGGAATTTCGCTCTTACAGAATTAAAAAATTTAGATCGGTATTTTGGGTTGTGGAAAAAATTCGCCCACAAAAAAAGAAAAAGAAAAAAGGATGTGTGAATACATCTGTGGTAGCACAAAAGTGCCAACAGTCCCTCAACAACAACAATGGTTTCAGTAGGGTTGAAACACAAGCCTATGTTCTGCTTTCTCACTGTTTTCTGGACTGTACTACAGGTATTGTACTGTGCATTATTATTCAGGAGTGGAAAGAGGCCAGCTAGTGCTAAGAGAACTTAAAAAGGTATTACTTTAGAGACAAAATTAGATGTGTTGAGGAGGTTTGACCAGAGGTAGAAACTGAGCTACATTGTCAAAATTTTGGAACTGACTACCTCCATTATTGGTACAATCCATGATAACAAAGAGAAAATTAGGGCTAGTGCTCAAGTTGCTACTCCATTGTTAGCCCGTTACTCTTTATTTTCATTGAAGTGATGCAATGATAAAATGGAATGCTTAGTCAGTGTATGATTAGAGGACCAGACCAAGCAAAATGTGCCCCTTAGTACAATGGTTATTCAGGATACGGCTAAGAGTGTATGCAGATTTAAGGCAGGGAGAAGGTGCTAGCTTGGATGAAAAACCCTTTAATGCCAGCATAGGATGATTTGAATGATTTAAGAAATGCTCAAACCTACACAACATCAAGATGGTAGGTGAAGCAGCCAGTGTTGATATTGAGGCTGCCAAAAATATCCTGCTGAATTACAAGCAATAATTGAGGCCAATAGGTACACACCACAGCAGGTGTATAATATTGATGGAACAGGTCTCTTCTGGAGGCGCTTGCCTGCCAGAACCTTTATTTCGACTGAGGAGAAAACAGCTCCTGGGTTCAAAGCTTCCAAAGATTGTGGACTCTCCTCTTAGGGGGTAAAGCAGCAGAAGATTTTAAGCAAAAGCCCATGCTTGTGTACCACTCAGAAAATCCCAAAGCTTTTAAGGGCTACAACAAATCCAGGTTACCTGTAATATGGTGCTTCCATAAGAAAGCATGGATGACTGGCACCCTCTTCCATGATTGGTTCTGGAGAGAATATAACATCATGAATGCTGCAAACAACATTGCTGACTCCTGGGAGGAGGTGAAAAATACAACTATGAATGCAGTCTGGAAGAACATCTGGCCAGATTGTGTTCATGATTTTCAAGGTTTTTCCCTTGGATCAGGTGCAGCAGGATATTGTAACTCTGGCAAATGATGCAAGGTTTGAGGAAGTAGATCAGGCTGGTGTTGTAGAGCTGTTAGAGTCACACAGAGAGGATATGTGCAATGAGAATTTTATGTTAATGGAAGAGGAGCGAGCTGCTGCTGCTGAGGAACAGGATACCTGTACAGAAGTCATTTCTACATCCACAGAATTAACAACAATGATTTAGTCCATAGCTATTAGTAAACTGCAGGTTGTTATGCATACCTTTGAGACACATGATGCAGACAATAATGCAGTTGCAAGTTTACAAGACAAATCGAGAATGTCATGTGGGGATATAGGGAGCTGTACACAGAAAAATTGTACCATCAAGGACAGGCCACATTGGACGAGTTCTTTGCCCCAAAACCTCAGCCAGCAGCCCAAGTAGTTGATGATGATCCACAGAGAGAGGCAGGAGTTAGCAGTGTCCCATCATCTCCCTCCCAGTAACTCCAGTTGCACCACCTCACCTAACCTAACTCAACACTGTTTCTAGTATGGAAAATTTGAGTGGTTTGTTCATTTATTATCACGTTACATCATGAATGACTCATTGTATGTGGTTAAAACTATCTGATTTCATACATATATGAGCTTGTGTCACGTTTTTGGGCCTTAACATTTTTTCGTAGGAATGCCTCAACTTTTATAATTGAAGTCAATGGGAAAAATGGTTTCGAGTTACGGAAAGGTTTTCCGGACTGGAACCCTTCCGTAATCTGGGAGATGCCTGTATTAATGAACAGATTATTACTGTAACATATATTTTCTAATTAATGAATAACAAATACAGCAAACAGTATTGTATTATGAGTGACAGTCATTTGATGAATAGTAGTGATGATTGCAGTAGACTGAGTGAAAGATGCAGTGGGTGGGAGGGAGGGAGGAAGGAAGTGGGAGGCAGTGGACATTGTATGGCTATGCTCTGGTTAAAGTTAATCCATCTCTGCATCATCGAAATTATGATTTAGGTGGTGATAATAGAGGTAGTGATGATGATGTGTGTGGTAATGATGGTGGTAGTGGTGAGGAAGATGTGGTAAGGAGGTGGTGCATTTATCAGTTTCTTTGGTAAAACTGCACCTGCAGCACTGCCAGATATAAGTATAAATAAGCAATGCTGTATCTGTTCAACATACCCTATGTTACATAGCATTTTAAAATATAGTGAGAAGCAGAAAGATAGGAGTGATTAGGGAGATGGAGTGGAAGGGAGTGGTAACATGCACCGGGTGTTGCCAAGTGCTCCTCAGCAGCTGATCTCTACCCTGCCACTACACATTGTGCCTCAGTTAACCACACACAATAAGACCTACACTTAATATAACAACTTCGTGGTTGTTATAGCTGAAGCTTTTATCTTGTTTGTATTCTTAATAATGGTTCTAACAGTTGACGCAGCCAAGTTGAGAGCAGCACTGACATCCACCTGACACTCACCAGCTCCAACCACCTCAACACTTATAATATTACATCAAAGGAGATAACAGACATGATGAGTAAAAAATAGTCAATAAAATAAAAAATTGGCAAATCAACAAGAATGTGTCCACAGTGTAAGCACAGCAAACTTGTATTGTACTTTACTGTAAACAGAGCGCTTGGTGCTGATTGGCCGAGTGCGTAAAAACAAAGAAAGCTGTTCTTTGCGTGTTGTTAGTGTTCGGATTTGTGACTTTTGATTAATTTTTTTCCCCTAGAACTCCAAGATGCAAGCAAGAGCACTATAATGAAACAACACTCTATGAGGGTAGTGCTAACCGGGGTATTACTGTATACTGTACAGATGTTTTAAAATTTGAATAGCAATAAATTTTCATGTTCCCTTAGATAAAGCATTATCAACTCACCTGACCACGAATTCCAGGTGAGAATTTCCAGATAGTTAAGAGGTGATTAAATAATTTGCCTTCAGTGCAGACAGCTCTCACCAGATGAGGCCTTGCGAGTGTAACACTGGAAGTATAAGACTCCACCACAGGAGGAAACCCAACAACAACATCAGCCTAGAAAAAAAATGCAATGTATACTTTCCTACTGAAACATACCAGTAAGTATTCATATATCCAATATTGTTAGGTCTCATTTATCACAGGGGTTCTGTCCCTTGCAATGTGCTAAGTTACCACAAGTGAAACTAATTTTCCATAAGAAATGCTGTATTAAGGAGGGGATGCATTCATGACTAGAAATTTATGGGTACAGTACTTGGGTTATTATTTATTAATAAAAAAAACCCACATATATACTGTAAAGTGATAAATGAATCAATATATACATTGTATGTAATGTAGATATAATACTCTTATTGTTACTTCAACAAGTTGGCTTGATATTGTTTAATATAGTAGTGTCTAATTTAACTATAAATGACACTGTTGCTGTTTCTTGATATACTGTAAGGTGTGCTTGGTAAAGTACTGATATGCCTTTTGGCACTCGGTATGCATAATTTAATCTCTTCAGACAGAGGGACTTACCGAGTACATCCTTTTACACCAAGCATCACATCAGAAGGATGTAGTACCTGGTATGTCCTTTAATCGTCATGAAAAAAGCTGGGAGGGTGAAATTGCTCTGATATGGCACTTGTCTTACTCTAAGACACTGACAAACCACCAGATATAGTCAGATTTTCCACCCGCTCTTGTGTTTGGGCGAGTACTGAGCTTATTTCCTTACCCCTCCCTCACACACATCCCTTCCCTAACACACACACACACACCCTCCCTCACCTACCACCTCTGATATGGTGTTTGGTTACCTTATCTGCCCCTGTGAGGAAAAGGGTTAAGGCATTCTTAAATATATACCATACAGCATACAGCTTTTCCTATAAGTATATTAACACTTCTTGGTCCCAATGTCACACCATACTGAGAATCTACTATTATCTCAATAACCAGTTGCCCTCCTAACAGCCTTTGTTTCACTACCCTACAATATTGCACTTCTCCTTCCAGTTGTATAAACCTTACTATCCTACAGTCTGCATTTACAACACTGCACCTCTTGTACAGGTAAACCTCGCTAAACATTGGGGTTAGGTTCTTGAAAACCCATCACTAAGTGAAATATCATAGATAGGGAGCATTATAACATGGGGATCAATGGGATAAGTTCCCAGCCAGTTCCCAAACACATATGTATCACCGACAAAAAAATTCAAACATTACTGTGCGACTTATTTGGAGCAAAATGCTTTAAATTTTATGCGACAAAAATGATTTAATTGAGGAATCCATCTGCAGTTAAGAGAATGGAAAATATAAGACATAGTTAAATTTATGGAGTGCTCAGAATGACAAGGAAAGCAGAGAATGTGACTTGTGAAAGTAAAGGTGGGTCCTGTAAGCCTGTTGGCTCATTAGGGGAAATGTGGATGCAGTAAATTGTAGTCTAACCCTAATTTTGGTACTCAATGAGGCACTGTATCTAGCATTGCATTTAGTTGCCTTCACTTCTCCACATGTAATGTTAGGTACCCATTCAGTTTGGTTAACTGAAGGTGCCCTAGATGTAAACCATCAACCCTATGGTTAAGAGGTATGCACTGAACAGTTTCTGTTCAGCAACTATACCCCTATGTAAATTGTGAATTGTGCAATGGGTAAAGGGAAGCTCACTGAGAACATATGAACATGTGAGAAGGATGCAAGAGGGAAGGATAGTTGAAGGAGCAAGGTAGCAGGTGCAATAGGTATAAGGAAATGTGGAGCAATACAATGCAGTAGAGTACATCAAAGAGAGAACAAAGAAGGGGTTAAGGAGAATAGAGAGAATGGATGTACTGTATGTTGTGAAAAGTCACCCCAACAAAAAGCATCTCCATGAAGGAGTGGAGAGTTGTAGATAAGACAATTTCACTGTCTACATAAAGGAAGCATGTACCTATGCTGTACTGAAAAATATTTGTACCAATTGGCAAGTTGGTAACATAAAATGCATGACAGCTTCACTATTCTTATTCCAGCCTTAAAATGACATTTGCTCTATAACAATCCCATTTTAATAAACCACTCAACTAACCTTTAGAAATCCTGGCCTTCTCGAAGTCACATGAGATTTCTTACAATATGGTACAAATTTGTGATAGTGCTCCACCTCTGACACCACATCAAACATCTGGTTCATGGAGTACCTGTGGCAAAGTAGTAAGTCTGCTTGAATAATATCTACACTATCTTTATAAACATTAACATACTGACGTATTGCAAATACATTTTAAAGTCAAATATAAAACTTATTTGATCCTTTTATTGTCAGTTACAGTATTAATGATATAAGATTTCAGATAAAGTTACAACTGAGTGGTATGAAATAAAAAATTAACCTCAATATAGTACTGTACTGTTATAAAAAAAGTTTAAAACAAAAAATTGCATTGAATTTTTACCTAATTAGACATAGAACATTGAATGTTGGAGCACTTGAATTGTCTGCTGTAGTAAACAGTGGGACTGCTAGCTGCAAGACGTTTTCAACCTCATATTATGTCGCTGGTTTTGTTATTTCACTAATTTCATTTTCACTAAACTCGATTGTGGTACTGTACAGGTACTGTACTTGATACGTATTGAGGGAGTTTACTGTAACACCTATAGAGTTAGTACACTGTTCAGATACAGTACTGTACAGTGTATATTGTCTTTCATGGATACACTACCTGTACAGGGTATTATAATTCAGAGATGACAGAGATGCTGTCTTTCCTTTTATTAATTTACTGGAAACCAATCTTACTAATTGCACTAATCCTCTGTACAAGGAACTACGTGTACCTTGCAACACCTGGAAAAAAAAGATCAACTTACCAGATCCTGCTGGGATAATGCCATTGAGTTCAGGAATATTAAGTCATGAACCTATTAGGCTGTATGATGTCTAGGCCATTAGAAATTTAGACCTAAGATGTTTAGGCCAAAAGATAATAAGCACAGTATAAAAAAATACCAATACCAGTACAGTATAAATGAATTATACATGAATTAAAATAAATAAATAAATTTTCCATATCAATAAAATAATTACAGTATGTATACAATTAATAAAAATTAAATATTGGTCAAGTTATACAGGTATTCTACACAGTGAATTAAAAAAAAATATAGCCCATATCCACAAAAGAATAAAATGCACTTCATTAAAATCAGTTACACAAGTTATTCTCCTTCACAAGGTACAACTACATTAAGTGACCAAATTTGCATCACCTTGTTGTGGTGTCGGGGCTCGAACAAAGCACTTTCAAATATACTGTACCTGTGATGGGTATAATGTTCCCATCTTGTAACCTCAAATGAACAGGTTGAAAGTGGATTGTTGCAGGTTTGGGGCATCCAGTCTCCTTAACTTCACTTCTTGCCTTGAACAACATTGGACTGACAGAATAAACAATTTCTGGGCACTCCTGTTGGATTATTGTCACCTAAAGATCCAACTACATTGCCACCTATGCTTTCGGGCAGTGAACCACCGAGAGCTACCAAGTACGGTACTGTCCGAGCAAAACAAAGCCTTGAACATTAAACACAACTACGGAAAGTTGAAGAATGAACAAGCACAAAATCAGGATTGGAACATGGAATGTGAAGACATTATATGAGGGTGTTAAGTATGCAAATGTTTGTAGAGAAATGAAAAGGCTGTAGTGATACATTCTGGGATTAAGTAAAGTAAGATGGACAAGCATGAGAGAGGTGTTGGTATTCTTGTACACCAGAAGTTGAACAGTAATGCAAAGGGATATTAAGCAGTATCAGATAGATTTTTGTGAGTCAAGTTTAATGCTAAACTCATGGACTTGGTAACAAGACAGGTTTAGGCACCAACAAATGATAATAAGAATGAAAATTTTAAGAAAGCAAAAAGACACTATGAAATTTAATCAATGTCTAATTATAATGGGTAATTTTAATGCAAAAGTTGGGAAAGGGAAAGAAGCACCAGAAGTAGGACCACTTGGGTTGGGTAATAGAAATGAGAGAAGAAATATTCATTGACTTTTGTATGGAAAATAAGATGATAACTGCAAATACAGTACAGGCATTTCCCGTGCTATGAAATCTCTGGTTACGAAATTTCGTCTTTACGGAATGTTGAAATTATGACCAAAATTTCGGGCTATGAAAAAAAAAATAAATAAATAAATAAATTTTGAACCAAAATTTGTATACAAAATTATAAAAGTAATTTCCTGTGGATTCTCTGTGGTAGCCAAAAGGTGGTTAAGGTCCCACAACAACAACAATGGTTTTGGTCTGTTTGAATCTCCAGCCAATGTTCAGCTGTGTTTCTCTTTCTGGACTATATTATAGGTATTGTACTGTGCATTCTTATTCCACTTCATCTTCACAACACACCTGCATAATCTTCACTATACAGGTATTGCAGGGTACAAAATTCCAAAGGGTGGGGAGGATTTTGGAGTCAAACTGCTTAAGAACACCGAACCTACTGTGTTAGCACCAAGCGTTCACTGACCCGCCAGGCTTTCCTCCCTCCATTGTTCCCCACTTGGTAACTACGCGCTCCATTGTCCTCGGAGAGAGGTAGTCGTTGCCCGTGCTTTTGGGGCTTGGTTAGTGGGCATCCCCCCCCAACCTGTGCTTGATGTGAGTGTGCAGGGGAGTCTGACAGCTGGCAAGCACCAGGCACTAAGTCGGCTTTGAAGTGGTTGCAGCAATTAGGTTGCGACAACTAGCAATGCCACCTCAGCCAGTCCCTCACTCAATCAGGTGCATGTGGCCCGCCTTTAGAACACAAAAGAGCCTGGAGGTGGCATATGTTAAATGATGGCTGGATGATTGGGTCATGTGCGGGTAGTTACAATTTGGACACCAGTGTATCGTGCTGGATTTACGTTGGGGTGTGGAGGATCATACGTAAATACTATATTAGTGCTTTACTTTGCTGCCTCGTCTAACCTGTTTCAGTGTGTGAAACAATGTTGTGAATTATATTGCCACTGAAGTGTTTGTCTTAATACACTTGTCAGAATCGCTTCCTGGCATGGGTCGCCCTCTTGTTGACTGTATGTACTGCCTTCATGAATATCATATGTGTGACTAATTCAGTCTCTGTTGGCTACACCTCTTACTTCCCTATACTGTACTGTGCAGTACAGTTGCAGAAATGTGTTCCTACATCCCCTGTGGTAACCCGTGTCTCTAAACGGCAACGTCGCAGTAGTAGTATCACTATTTATGAATGAAAGGGTATTGGTAGTGTAACGACGGACGTGATTGGTGGATAAGTTTGCTATAGGTCATATAGGTTGGCCGTTTGGAAACACAGGTTATCACAGTGGGTGGAGGAATACATTTACGCAACTGTACATAACAAATAGTGTGGGCACATTTGGGGACTATTTGTGTGTTTTTTGTACTTGCCACAGGTGTATATGCCATTATTACAAGAATAAAGTTGGCTGTTGTACATCTGACTTTTGATCATAGTAGTGGACAGACGGTAGTTTGGTAGTGAAAGAAACATGACTAAGAGATGGAGCTTTATTCCTGAGTTTCTTTAGCCCAACGGGAGAGATCTGCTGTTACATACAGTAATGTAATTTTAAACCTAGACTAAACACACTCTGGGTTTTTCCCGCCATATTAACTTTGTTTTTTAGCTGGTTACGGTTTTAACATGTGGGGAAAAAAATAAAATTTTCCTCAGTCTCTCATATGCTCTCAGCAGCTTGGCACTAGCTCTCAGGGTGTTAATGAGCAGCTGGTGTTGCTGGGAGCACTCATACACCTGGCAGCAGTATGCAATGTCTTGGCTGTGACACAGCTCCATTCAAGCCTTGTACCTCAAAATTACCTCCATTTTTTTGCCTCATCTCATATAGATTTTCTTATATATTGTATTCATTTCAAGAAATTTTTGGATAAACCATTAAGGATTATTTGGATGAAAAATGGTGTTTCTAACTTACAGTAATTAGAACTGATTTCATGGACTCCGGTATAAATATTTCTTATGTTTTTCATAAAAGAATTGTCTCCATCATTATACAGTATCAAGCCAAAATATTTTGTTAAAGTATCTTTTACTGAAGCAATCTTGTAGAGATCATTATGGTACCAAATTTATCTTTCTAACACAATTAGAAGAGATACTCTGGATAAAAGTTTATACTGTACACTTTTTCTCTTGCTGTAAATATCTTTGTTTGAGATTGTAGCCTAACGTAATGGGAGAGTGATAAGAGAATCATAAAGAGTAGAGTGTTTCATATGGTATACATTATTACTGAACTATAATATACTTCTTGATAAAAATACTATATTGAAACATACAGGTATACTGTAGTACAGTGGCGTAGCAAGTTTCACAACAGCTCAAGTTCCACGATTCACGCATTTCACATGGACCCCTAAATTCTCTGCCTTGAAACATCCACGTACCTTCCTCCTAAGTTTCACGCTCCCCGATGATTACCTGTCCAGAAATTCATATTCTGTGCCGCCCCAACTCAGCAGCCATGTTTTGACATCATGACAAGCGGTCATGTTTATGACGTCATGATCCTTCACCTAAGAAATGCTGATACGGGGGTCAATAAAAAAAGTTCAAATTAAGTTAAAACATTTCTTTTTTCTTTTTTTTACCAAAATACAGTAATACGTATCTCCGTTAACCTCTGCAGCATCTTACGAACCAGTCGCATCAACCTCTGCAGCATCTACAGAACCAGTCGCATTAACCTCTGCAGCATCTACAGAATCAGTCGCATCAACCTCTGCAGCATCTACAGAACCAGTCGCATTAACCTCTGCAGCATCTACAGAATCAGTCGCATCAACCTCTGCAGCATCTACAGAACCAGTCGCATTAACCTCTGCAGCATCTACAGAATCAGTCTTATCAACCTCTGCAGCATTTACAGAATCAGTCGTATCAACCTCTGCAGCATCTACAGAACCAGTCGCATTAACCTCTGCAGCATCTACAGAATCAGTCGCATCAACCTCTGCAGCATCAAGAGAACCAGTACCATAAACCATTAATGTAAATGGACATTCACTACAGGGTTGTATTGTGACCAAATACTTTTTCTAACCTACAGTACTAGGAGCAAAATGTAAAATAGACACTGTTCCATATAACGATAAGAACTGATGAAGTGATTTATCAAATATTATTTTCAAGGTTTTCGGACAAAGAATATACCTAAAAAGCTCAGAATTCATTATTACTGTATTTTATTATACTGTACTGTATAAAGGTATAGGACTGTTTATCTGGTTTCCTGGTATCTAGAATGCTCCAAAAACCAGCTACACACTGGAAAAAAATTTTTTAAATGAGCGCCAGAAGTAATTCCTGGGCCGAGTAGGGATATTTCCAACCATTCCCCTACTGTATGCTACTGTATATGTTATCTTATGGTTATTTTTCAACTAGTAATACAGTACTACACTAGGTTTCTTATTATCACAGAGGTTATATAATATCTTCATTATCAACATTTTATGGTAATTTTCTGCTAATGTTGGTTAGCTTTGACTACCTAATGCTGCATGGTCTCTTGTAAATCATCTTGACAGAATCTTAGCTATAATGTTAATATGATTCTGTAAATGTTAATATGATTCTATAATTTGTAATATCAACTAAAGTCAGATGAGACAAAACACAAGATATTCTCTCATCCTATGAGATGGAGGGATGCCCCCCCCTCCCTAGGATTTTCACCCCAGGTGCTAAGTAAGGTAAATGTGTAAATACTTTTATTTGCAAGACACTGTCACACTCACAATCTAAAAACCAAAGAAACATTAATTTTTTAAGTGATAGCTTAGATGTTATAACATGACAAAAAAGTGTTGTTAAAAAAAGGTAGAAAAAAATTACCCAAGAATTAGAATATTCTTTCTTCTTTCCGCCAAAGACACCACTCATTATACTACGGTCAGGGAGCAGGCATGGCAAGGAAGGGGTAGCCAGAAGCAGTGGTCGACTTTCTAC